CCCATATACTCACCCATTTACCCATCATCTATCAATCCATTCACCCATCCAATTATCCATTAGTTTTAGCCCTGGACAAATTTATATAATTATTTTGATAATTTCCTTTGTTATTTTGTGGTTGTTTTCACAAGTATTTGTTTCTTTATGTCTAGGCATTAGGAAGGAAGAAAAAGGGACTCTAGAAAAAGCTGGATACCTTCAGAGTATTAGCATCTCAATCGCTCCAATCACTCCCAACATTGCAACAGTTTGCTGCGTACTGATTCATATAGGTTTTGGAAATACCCTCACAGCGTCTGAGGTTTTCACGCTGGTGGCTCTGTTAAACACACTGCGTTTTGTACTGGGACCTCTGACATGGGCCATTAGGTTACTTGCTGAAGCTGGCATAGCTGTCAGAAGAATGCAGGTAGGTTAGGATTTAAAGAATTACAGTTGTAGAATGGTAGTAGGCACACGAATGGCACATGCCTTTCCATTTGAGCGTGTTGGGTTCAAATCTTGCAATGGCAGAATTATTCTGCAGACTGAAAACATTGAGAATTTCCTCACAGAGCATTACACTTCTAATGGATCTTTCTGCTAAGCTCTACCTCTTGGATATAGTTGCTAAGGTCCCACAAAGCGACAGTGGTAGAAACATTCACAAACACATGCGGGTGCTTGTTAAGCATGTACGTATTTCAGCCTCTGTTGTGATTGGAATGCATTTAAACATTCCGTCAACCGAGTCGATGTGATTCGATTCCATGGAGATTAAATGTGGCGAAGCATGTGCGACATACCTTTTCTATTTCCACAATCCACACTTTGACTGCCACCAAACAATCAGTTGATGGCACCACATCATCATGCATAGTTGAGGCCCACGCAGAGCCTAGCTTAACTTTCCTGAACTGCCCGCCGAAAGGCTAGCTGTGTTAAGACTGTTACATATTAAGTAGTACTGTAGTAATACGAAAGGATCTTCTTAAATCCTGCATGAGTATTCGTAGATGGAAATCAGCATGTCAACTCGTTCGCTGCCAGTGAAAAGTATACTCATCATACAGAGGGTGCACTTGGCACAGGCAATAACAAGAATTTTCCTATTTCCAGTTTGCTCGTCTCCTAATTGTTTTCCCGCCAATTTAATAGACACACAATTTTGATGATTTGTGACGAAACGTAGTTTGGGAAAAGTATGCTTTCATATGTAAACTTTTTTTTGCATTTGGTGCAGAACTTGTACAAAAGGCGTGGCTTTAAACGTGTTAAAAATATGACCCAATAACATAACCAAAATTATACAAATTTAATTGTTTTATTTGTTCTTTATTATTAAAGAATGTTTTGATCATGGATGACATGCAGCCACTGCATTATATTAGTAAGGAGTCTAAATATGCTGTCATCTTGTCAGATGCATCGCTAGCCTGGGACAAACAAGACAAGAAAGAACCACAAAATCCTGGACAGAAAGGCAATAAAAAATCAAGCAATCAAAATAACCGCGCTGCGAAAAAACCTGTAGAAACCCAGGATGTATCCTTCCAGGTCGACATGCCAGAGGTTGATGAGAAACAGGGTGGCAACGGCATCCGGAGAGAGGTGAACCGACGTGGAAGTGTACCCATCGAAGAGTTGGATCGCATTCTGAAAGAAAGCACAAAGCCTAAACGTCTTCCAGTCTTGACGGAAGGTGTTGCTGAGGTTCTTCATAACATCGATCTCCATCTTGAAAAGGTAAATCAACAAAATTATTATTGACCACTCTTTGACGATACAAACTCTGTCAATGAGCTCATGTGCTTAAAAAATGCAAAAACAAACATATTTAATATTTAACGAAGCCCATATTCAGGTGGGGATGGAAGTGCAATGAGTGTGTGCACACCCCTCCAAATTAGAAAAAGGTCCACAAAGATTAAAAGGGAATCTTAAATCTTCACATTTTAATCAACAATTTTATTATTCAGTTTATCTCTATCTTAACCGTTTACTCACCCCAGTTTGTCCATCTTTCCACACCCCAATGGCAGTTCCTGGATACAGCCCTGATAATGTGTATATGGACATGAAAATATATTGATAATAATTTTTATAAAATTCATTTAGTTATTTTTCAATTACTTTATTACCTTTCCAGGGAAAATTGACCGGAGTTTGTGGAGCTGTTGGCAGTGGGAAGTCTTCCCTTATATCAGCTATTCTTGGTCAGATGCACCTCCTAGAGGGCGAATGCCTCATTAATGGCTCATTTGCATATTCAGCGCAAGAGGCTTGGATGTTCAATGCCACGTTACGTGAAAATATCCTGTTCGGCCGTGAATTTAATCAGGAAAGATATGAGATGGTGTTAGAGGCTTGTAGTTTAAAGCCAGATATTAAAATTTTGACAAATGGAGATGAAACAGAGGTAAAAATGTTTTTGAAAATTGTTTGGTTTAATATGTCAAATTATATATATGGAATGAATTTGACAATAACAACAATTTCTTATCCTTTATGATATAGTTTGCTGGTATTTTTAATATAAAATTCGTGAACTTATCTAGTTCTAAAAATCAGTTTAAATCCTAATGATGAAAATTGTCACTTGTCATATTTGTATTAATTGTAATAAATTTTACACTTTCTTGGGAAAAAATTGTTTAATTTGTTCAGATTGGTGAGCGAGGAATTAACCTAAGTGGTGGTCAGAAGCAGAGAATAAGCCTTGCAAGGGCGCTCTATGCTGATCAGGACATATACCTCCTTGACGATCCTCTTAGTGCGGTTGATGCTCACGTAGGACAACACATTTTCGAAAATTGTATAAAGACTGCCCTCAAGGATAAGACGGTTCTCTTTGTTACTCATCAGCTTCAGGTAAGGAATATAGAAAAATCAGCATTTGTATTATGGCTCATAGAATTAATAATATTAATGACAATTGCAAATAGAGTAGCTAGCTCAGTTGGTTAAACTGGTAGAAGCCACGGTGTGTGCCCTAATTAACGTGGAGATCTCTAAGTCCCCAGGTCCAATTCCCATAGCTACTTTTCTTGCGTTTCACCTGGAGGGCTGAAATGCAACTTTCCAAAGCACACCGTCTTTAGAATGAGACATTATTTTAAAGCCATTGGTTCTGTGTGCAAAGTGTTTCATGTGCACCTTAAAGAATACACTACACTCTTTGTAAGAGAGTAGGGGATTGTTTCCTGGTGTAGCAGAAGGACCCCACAGGTAATGTCTTCATGACTTTTGTGAAGTATCCTTGATGTGTATCACACAGAAGAAATCCAATCAAATCCAAAGATAACAATTACAGTAACAGTAATTAATCATTGTATTGATATCAAACTACTGTATTGTAGTAATTAAAATCAGTGTTTTTTTAACAATGTGGGGTATTTTGAACCAATACCAAAACGTGCCTTAAGCAGTGCTTAGCTTCTCCAGTTGTAGTCCTGGAAAAGCTGGTTGGGGACCAGCACACAGTATCCAGAACTGTTAAGTAGGGAGGCCAATCAGTTTCTGCATTGCAACGTATAAAAACATCACAGTACCTCTGTATTATTGGTTTATAAAAGAATAGTTTGATTCAGTATTAATTTGTTGTGTTGTGTGAATCATAATTCCCTTGTAATTAAGCCAATATTTGTTATGTTCTGGGATGTTTTGATTCAAAAGCAACAAATCTGCTTTAGGTGATGAGTTGCCTCCTTAGTTTTAGTCTTAAAAAAGCTGGTAGAGGGCAGCACACAGTATCCCGAACTGTCAAATAGGGAGCCAATCATTGTATGCTTTACAATGTATCAGAAGTCGCACATAAAATATTGGTTTATAAAAGAATAGTTCCATTCAGTATAATAGGATTAAAGATTGAAGTGAAGTGTTTCCTGTATTGCTTTATTCTGTTTCAGACTGCTACATATTTTTTACATTTTGTTTTATTATCTGTAAATCTGTGCTAACCTAACAGTCAGCTATAAACAAAACGTTAATCTCTTTCATTCAGTATTTGAAAGATTGTGATAACGTTGTGACAATGAAAGATGGGTTCATCGCTGAAATTGGAACCCATGACGAGTTAATTGCAGCGAAAGGCGAATACGCCCTCTTGATTGAGACGTTCCATGCAAAGCAAGAGAATGAAGAGGAAGAAGAAGAAGAGGTGGTTGAATTTGAAGGGGAGGAGGATGCCGCCTCTGTAGGCTCCGGAAGAACAGGCTCCTTCAAGCGATCTGTCAGTCGAATGTCATCAAAAAGTGTCAAAAGCGTTGAATCCATGGATATGGAAAATGAAGGTATGTCGCCCTTCCCTCTGACATAAACCTCTGTTCACACTGAAATATTTGATGTGACATATTTGTGTGATGTGCCCATATATTGGCATTTTGACAGTTATTTGTCAAATACAATTTGATAGTGTGAACAAAGCCATGTATGTTTTTTTTTTCAACGTGTATAAATATTATGCAAAACATAAAACATTACAAAAATTCACAAAAAAAAGAGAAGAGGACTAAGTAGAATATATACATATATCTCACAATCATTTAAACCTTTGATATTTATAAGTTTATGAGACGTTATTTTAAATCAATAATAATAATAATAATATTAATAATATTTATTTGGCATTCAAGATATATATCATTTGCCAGGAAATAGAATAGGCAGTAAAGCCTGTACAAAACAATTTGCTCTCTTTCCTCTGTACGAAGCACAGTGAGCTTCACAAGAAACTGTAATGCTGTCTTATAGAACATCTGCTGAATTTGACTTCTGCCCTGGGGTGGATTGCTATAAGCAGTCTTTAGACGGTCTTAACGGTTAGCTGGCTATAATCGTGACGTCACTACTGGTCTATGATTATAGACCATTGCTATACAGCAGTCTAATCAGTTAGCCTTTTTAAATTTTAAAGCCTACTCGGAGGAGGCTTAAAACGGTCTTAAATCATTTTCATCCTGGCGATTAATTCAACAGTGCAAGGACAAGACCTAGGCCTAGAACGTGAAAGTCGGAGAATCGAACAACGAATACTCCGCACACTTCTCAGCGTCTGTAAAAATAGGTCTAAGGCGTTTATTTACATCCATTTCGATACGTTGCCCTCCATCTTACGTTACCAGGGAGTGGTTGTTTGCGTTTCAATACTCAAATCGGTCTTAGGGAAGACTGTTTTATAGCAATGGTCTTAGAGGAATGACTTTAGTAAGACTGCCTCAGTGATAAAGCCGGCTTTATTCGAGGAGTTAACCAGAAAAGACCGTTTTATAGCAATCTGCCCCTGGTCCATGAAAAGAAGAAAAAAAAATTGACGTTCAGGTAATTTTACATGACGACTGTGTACATATAATATAATTCTGTGTCTACTATTCTTCAAATATGCTACTTACACAGATGACTCCTTTGATGAGAAGGGTAAGTGAGACTCGCTGTTAATGCGGTAATTTTGGTTTTCCCATTGGTGTTATCCAATTAAAATAGAACTCTTTCTACCCACATTTTGTTGTTCCAATAGTAAAAAGCACAACTTCATGTTTTAATATTTGGGGCTTACCATGCCAAAACCAGCATCAGTGACCAAAACGAGAGAGATTACTTGTTAATATATTCATATTCTCACCATTATAAGCTATCAAATGACAGATAATTGATTGGAATTGACCTACCTGTACTATTGCCAAAATGATGGCTTCTCTGTACAAAGGTATTCAATACAGTACTGCCACATTCTCTTGCTAATAGGCAGCTTTCGATATGCATGAATCTATCTATGCAGATAACGTAGGACGCCCGGTAGGACGGTCACGCATGAGTGAATATCTTTTAGCGTCGCGTCTTCGCGTAAATCGAAAGCTCCCTATTTACTCAGTTTAACATTTAGCGACTGTACGCTGGTTTCGGGATGGCAACCCTCATTCTATCTATACTGAAGCCTGGTGTCCATAAAATCGGTTCGCCAACTCTTTTGGCGATGCTGATTGGTCAGTTGAATCAGGGAGCGTTCCCGATTGTGTCGGGGACAGCTACGTAGTGCAACGGTTGCATTGAAAACGCTATAGCGACTGTGTAGCGATTCTATGGAAACCAGGCTTCACATAGTGTTTTTTCCAGTGGCAAAACCCTCACTATGTGTTGTGTTCATCCAGAAGAAAAAAAACTGCTTATGAACAGTCCAGTGCATGATTCTAATAATGTTATTATTATTATACTTTATTCAAAATTCAAACCAATTCTATCAAAATTTGTAACAAATTGTGACCCTTAAGGTCAAATTGCATGTTATATTACAAAAGGTAGATAATTAAAAATTACAGTATTCACAATCTTGAAGCATTTGTGTTGGTAGTAACTCAAAATGCATGCTGTTTAATATTTTTGTATTGATATACGGTATGTTGATTGTTGTTTTGCTGTGCCTTAAAGCACATGCCTATTTTGTATTGGTTTTCAAAATTATGATTTTAATGGGTATATCACAGTATATGTATGTATAACAGTAAATGCCCACTAACAGAAAAACAGAGAAAAGAGTATAGAAAATTGCAAGAAGCCCGACTGCCCTGATTTTGTATGCACGCAATGGAACATTAAAAAAAAAATACAGCCACAAGATAGGGGGCGCCCAGTTAGAATTTGTATACAGTTCGTTCGAAAACTCATCTTTAAGGAGGCGCCCCCTTCCTGGCAGCACTTTTTGAAATAGCTATTACGTTCCAAGGAAACCATGACAGTCAGACCTTTTGAAGTTCTATACTCCTTGAGTATATGCACAGAACACCTTTGAAGGTGATTTTTACTTACAACTCACTGACTACTATAGTTTTTGGCAATCTTTTACCTATTCCTAATTGAAAAAAATGTAATAAAATACAAATTAGCTGTTCTTCATATAATAATAATATTAATAATAATAATATTGTAATAATAATAATAATAATGATAATGATAATAATAAATAATAATATAGATTGGAGCAGTCACTCTATAGAGTGCATATCTTCGCCATGTGCCTGAATACTGAACAATACGCGGCCGTGTATGATGGGTAAAAGTCAAAAAGTCCTGTCTGTCATGAATCATCCGTTCGTAGCTTATTAAATATTAGACCGCAATAAGTACCGAATAATAAAGAGAATGGATATCATGTTATATTATTTCCATTATTTTCTGCCTGTACCTGACTACCGAGCAATACGCAGGCTGTGTATGATGGGCGATTCCATTATTTTTTACTTGTACCTAAATACAAAGCAATACACAGGCTGTGTATGATGGGCGATTCCACTATTTTCTGCCTGTACCTGAATACCGATCAATACTCAGGCTGTGTATGGTTGACAATTCCATTATTTTCTGCCTCTACCTGAATACCGAGCAGTATGCATGCCATGTATGATTGGTGATTCCGTTAAATTCTTTTATGCACAAGGGTAAAAGAAAAACAATTTTCCATGACCTTGACCTTGCCTTTGGCATCAAATGTTTTTATTATCTATATGATGTTAATGTCCTTCGAGGTGATAATTACTGAGGAAACAGATATAATCATAAACAGCAACATTACATAACTGATATCTCTTATTATTTGCAGGTCAGCTGATTCAGAAAGAGCAGCAGGGTGAGGGCGCTATCAAGGGCGTTACCTTCAAAGGCTACATTAATGCCATGGGGGGTGTTCTCATGACTGTTATTTTGCTGAGTGTCTACGTCTTGATGATAGGTTCCCTGTCCTTCAACAACATTTGGCTCAGTATCTGGCTTGACGCTGGTAGTGGGGTAAGTAGGCCTACAGTAGCAATACTTTAGATAGAGGTTCCAAATTGGGAGAAGATACTTTTTGTAAGATCTAGTGTATGGACATTTTTTTTAATACATCTTATTGTATATTACTGCATATGATGATGCCCATTTGACAGCAAGCTTTAGAAAGACAAAAAAAAAAGCATGCAAATTTTCTGGAAATTCTTTCTTACTCGTGTGGAATGTGGGTGATTTCAGAGAGACTTGCGTGACTTGTGGGGTACTTCGGCTCTGTTCCCTCTAATCAAATTTTATGTGACAAATATGCTTTACATATACTTTAATTTTTATTTCACTTGTCTCTTAACTACAACAAGTGCCGGGGACCAAGGAGGCCAAGGCCTGTCATCAGGCCCCCCAGACTAATCTTAAATACTACATAATTACTGATCGTAAATAACAAAAATAACAACCTTCATTTATTAGGCATGTTAGGAAAGTTAATTCTGATATGCCCATATTTGGGTGTAATATGACATATATGGGCACATCATGACTATATATGGGCACATCATGACTATATATGGGCACATCATGACTACTGTATATATGGGCATATCACATAAAATTTGATAGTGTGGACAAAGATTTATATAGCCTGGAGTATTACACAAGAACAATTGGCAGTGTTTGAATTGAAAACCTGTTGAGTATTATTGTAGATCATTTGCCACTGAAAGAATTTTTTTTCACAGCTTTTATATCTACTAATGGATTTTGAAAATCAAGTTTTGATGCTGATATACTTTAGTATTTTCACCTTTATTTTCTTACAGAACACAACAATTATTGTAAATGGTACCGAAGTGATAAGTGATAGTATAGCGGACAACCCAGATTTGAATTTCTATACTCTTGTTTATGGACTTACTCTTGTTGCCATTATAATATTCGCAGCATGCAAGAGTGGAATATTTGCAAAGGTAATATTCACACAAATATTTCTCACTTTATTGAATGTTTGCCTCCATACTACTACTTTGCTCTGTTATCTGTGAGCTGTTGTGATAAAATGAGTTATTAGGGAGCTTTTGATTTGTGGGACAACGCGACGCTAGAACGGATTCACTTCTACCTGGCGTCCTACATTCTCTGCATACATAGATTTGGCCAAATTGCATTCCAGAATCTTCTCGATGAGGTGACCTTAACGTTCTTGCATGCGCAAATGACTTTTAGTGACGTCATTACCGTTGTCGTGCAATAAAAAGCTCCTTATTGATATACTGTATTTAGAAAGATGGCTGTATAAGCCATGTTTTTGTCGTTAATCAGGTCAGGATCCTAGGTTGAGTATAGCTTCAAAAACACATTTAACTTAATAGGTAACTCAACTCAAAATATGTCAAAATATCACTTCAGATATTTTTTCTTAAATTAAAGACCACTTTTGAGACTGGGATAGCCATGGTCTTTAAAAGCTTTGGTTTCTAATTAGAATAATAAATGTAAAAAAACATTTGTTTATTTGGGGCAACAGCAAAGTGGTCTTTAATTGGAGGTGGTCTTTAATTGGAGGCGTATTTAATTTGAGGGAGACCTGTATATCAAATTCACTTGGCATACCACAAGACTAGTTATGACACCTCACATTTTTTTCCTGTTAGTAATTGACTTTAAGGCAGAACATTGGACCAACTTGGTTGTTAGCAGTTCTGTTTGCGGAGTAACAAAACAGATTTTTTGAATGGATTTTTTTATTTGAATGACAACTGAAAATATTATCTGTAGTTTTTAAATTTTGAGTATTTGTGAGGTTTCGTTAACTAAGTAAATACCTTTATTGCTTCACAGTTGACCCTCCGGGCGTCGTCTAACATGCATGATGACTTGTTCCGCACAGTGTTTCGCTGTCCAATGAGTTTCTTCGATACGACTCCAACTGGTCGAATATTAAATAGGTTCTCCACAGACTTAAATGAAGGTATGAATTTAAGTATATCTGGTTTCTTGAATATCCTAATTAGGCCAAAAAAATTATGTTTGTTTGCCCTTCTCCACCCGCCCCTAACTCACTGAAAAAAATAGGGGCGGAATAACAAAAAAATTAAAAAAAGCTTTTAGCTTTTTACTTTACAAATAAAAAAAAAATGTGACTGAATTTACTTTTATTTTTTGCCAGATGCCCTACAAATTTTGTCTAAAGTTGTTGTCTGATGTAAGATATTGCCATTCTAGGCTGCTGTGGGTTATTTTTACTCCATCTGATGAGTATCTTTAAAAAAAAAAACTAAATAAGACAAAAAGACCTTTTCCAACCAGCCCCTATTTATCATTTAAAAAAAAAAAAATGGCAAACAAACAATTTATTTTTTTTTGGCCTTAAGAGATTTATAATGGGAACCTATGTCATGGATAATTGAGAAATAATTGAATTTATTTAAGTTTAACACTTTTATACAGTAGGTGTGTATATTAGTAGATTTAGATACTTATGTAGTTATACCTGCCTTAAAGCTGGGCACTTACTACTTCATACGACGTTTGGCCAACAAATCCTACACCACTCCCTGTGGGCGTCAGATAACACGACGCCGTCTATCCCACTCCACTCCCTGTGGGTGTCGGACAACACGATGCCGTCTATCCCACTCCACTCCCTGTGGGCGTCAGACAACATGACGCCGTCTATCCCACTCCACTCCCTGTGGAGGTCAGACAACACAACACTGTCTATCCCACTCCACTCCCTGTGGGCGTCAGACAACACGACGCCGTCTATCCCACTCCACTCCCTGTGGGCGTCAGACAACACGACGCCGTCTATCCCACTCCACTCCCTGTGGAGGTCAGACAACATGACGCCGTCTATCCCACTCCACTCCCTGTGGGCGTCAGACAACAAGACGCCGTATATCCCACTCCACTCCCTGTGGGGGTCAGACAACACGACGCCGTCTACTGATTGTCAGTGACTGTCTGAACAGAATGTCATTAAAAAATGTCCATTGTGCGCATGTACTCCATAGTCGGCGATTCTATGGAGAAATTTTTGCTCAACCTGGCAACTGTCGTCACTAAGGGACTTTCTTTCCACAATTTACCATGGCTATTTCTATTGTACAATATATAAATAAATATTACAGTATTAGTAGATCGCTACTATAATTCTGCATAATATGACTAGTTAAAAATGTTACTGTTCAATAGTTGTAACTAACAACACACTCCATGACCACACCAGTTCCCACCGACAACACTCAAACGTTATATATAGATAGATATATAGATAGAGATCTTTCTTTACTTCTGAATACTTAATCAATTTACATTGTTCTTCCTTATGGTAGGGTTAATATTCAAAAACATCTTAAGATTATGTAATAATACTTTAAGAATTTATTACTAAAAAAAAAAAGCAAAATGAACAGTTGTAAATGAAATCAAATTTTTGAAAGAATGAAAAGTTAAAGAATTTAATAAATTGCATGTATCTGAGGGAAGATTGTTCCAAAGGTTAACTGAGCGGTGAATGTTTTTCCCCAAAATTTATTGCCATTGTCAATTAAGTGTGCTATTGCATCATTGATGCTCTTGTTTATTGTATTATCTTTGTCACTGTTATTGACTTTTGACTGTTAATATCTATGATATTCATGTTAAATTTATGTCTGAAATAAATGCAAAGAAATTATTTACAATTGTATGCTGTTATATTTATAATCTATTCATATATATTAAAGATTTTTATAATTCTTTTATATTTTATTTTAGTTGACACACTTCTACCTTTGAATCTTGAATTGTTTCTTCAAAACTCACTTATTGTCCTGTTTGCATTACTCGTCATCGCCTTTGTATTTCCATATTTTCTCATCGCGGTTGTCCCTCTCGCCTTGGTGTTTGCTTTTATTCTGACTCTGTACCGACGTGGGATACGCGACTTGAAAAGAATTGAAAATGTCTGCCGATCACCATACTATTCACACATTAGTGCAACAGTCCAGGGTCTTTCAACAATACATGCATATAATAAAACCAGTGAATTCATAGAAAGGTAAGTCAGCTTAATAACAATTTAAAAAGATTTATTTTATAGCCTTTATATCCTCGGTATTCAACCCCTGGCCCGTGGGCCAAATTCAGCCCACCAAATATGTTTATCCAGCCCACGGGACATCTAGGGATGTCTGTTTTCAAAATTTGCTCACCTCAGCCCCACCAAATTTAGGATTATATTGGGGATATCATATTCCTCGTTTGGGAATTTCTGGCTTGGCATTGTTTTTATGTACTTGGGTGAATTCATTTTGTGCTCAAAAAAATTCTAGTGGTTGGGTAGGACAACATGGGGTGCAAGATTTTGTTATCCCCAGCCCTACCACCTTATGCTACTGCATTCCCTCATTTTGACAAACTTGAGTACAGGTGGCATTACCACAAGTGACAGACTAGTTATTTGTTTTTTAATGTGTCTTTTTTTGTTTGGTGATGTCTGATAAACCTTGTTTTTTTTTTTTGAGTGATCTGTGCCTGATAATTATGTTTATGTAATTTTGTAATCTCTCTTCAGATTTAAAGAATTGCTCGACTACCAGTCTTTGCCGTACCTTTTGTTCCGTATCTCTACTCGATGGGCAGGTATCCGACTTGAAACAATTGTGATTATCATCTCGACCCTCACTAACCTTCTGATTGTTATTTTCAAGGACAACATCTCTCCTTCAGACGCTGGCCTTGTTGTATCATATACTGTCCAGGTGGGTGTCAATTACTGTATTTATTCAAATAAACACCCCGCTTTGAATAAACACCCCCAAAAAATGCCCCCTCGAATAAAAACGCTGCAGTGGTCATTCAAAAGACAATTTGTTATATTTCAAAATATTTATTTATATGTATTTAAAAATGTTTCTTACTGACAGTTAGTTTTTCTGTTTTTTTGCTTTGTTTTTTTTTACTGTAAAATATCTATGGAACCATGAAAGAGTTATAACTCCATGATACTTGACAAAGCTAAATTTATTATATATATATATTTGTGAATGGGAACCAGTAACAACACCCCTTTACAAAAATAGAACTATTCATTATGCCTGGTACACTTTAAAACAACCCTTCAAAATTATTTTATCATCAGCATAATCTAGATAATTATACTTAAATTATAAATTCAGGTGTGTCTGCATAGACAGACCACTATTATAAACTTTGATTTATTTAATTTTAATTTGGAATGTAATTATCATTATTATAGAGCCTACTAAAACTAAAATGCTCCCTTGAACATCCCAAGAAAGTAGTAGCGCAGTCCACTCCCATACCCTAAAGCAGTCCTCCTTTGTAGTCTTATAAGTAGGCGATCTGATAGTGTATAACTGATAGACCACCAAATCAATCTAACAACAATTATCTTTACGTTCCACAAGACAGTCAAACTCTCTCAGGTTATCTGTTCCTCAAATTCTGCATGTTCATACCATCAAACATTCTTTTTCTTTCGCCGCTACGGAATTAGGGAGTTTTCGGTTGCACGACGGCAGTAGGACGTAGAACGTAATGACGTCACTAAAAGTCATCTGCGCATGCGAAAACGTTAAGGTCACTTCGTCGAGTAGATTCTGGAATGCAATTTAGCCAAATCTACATCGGCGGTCACGCATGAGTGATTCCGTTCTAGCATCATATCGCACAAATCGAAGGCTCCCTATTATTGAACTCTCTTCCACCATGGAGGTATAAATACATTTATTTTATAACTCCATACTTTCATCTAAACTTAGATCAACTTCTCATACTGATGCATTCAAGACCCTCCTTAAAGCCTCTAATCAATAATTCTTGTACAGTATCTTTAAGCGCCAGTGACATACTATTATCTAACAGGTGCTATACAAATTCTCCATTGTATTTATTATAACATAAAACTAATGATCTATGTGATTTCAGTTTAAGATTTAAGATTTTGTATTATAGATTCTATGTTTAAACTATTATTGCCTTCACAGATAACTGGGATGTTCCAATTTTTAGTTATAATGGCTTCAGAGACTGAAGCACGTTTCACTTCTGTCGAGAGAATCTTAAATTACGTACGCGATTTAAAACCTGAGGCGCCAGCTACTATAGAAGAAACAAAACCAACTGCAGAATGGCCACAGAAAGGCAAAATACAATTCAAGAACTATAAGATGCGCTATAGGGATGGGCTCCCTCTTGTGTTGAAGGGTGTGAACATAGAAATTAAGCCGCAGGAGAAGATTGGAATTGTGGGTAGAACTGGTTCAGGTACTACAGAATGCATTCATTTTCTGAAGTATTTTCCTTGTTTTTTTTTTATCTGACTTGTACGTAAAGTTTCAAATGTTCTCAGACCTTAATTATTAATAAATAATTAACATTTTCTGTTCAGTAAAGGCCAAAGGTTGTACGGCGTTGTACATTGTAGCCCGACGCAATTAATCAACGGGGACCGTTTTTAGGTTGTTGTGAGAATATTAAACATGTTTTGTATTCTACAACATGATTGTCCCTGATGCAGACCTATCGCATTTAACACAGACCTGACACGACAACAAATCATGTCGGGCTGCATCGCACAGAGCTGTCCTAGTTCACACAACTTTTCATCATTAATCTTTTATTCACATAGGTATCAAATGTCAACAATTATAAGCCATACAGTTATGAAATTATATTTTAAATTTTATTTTCCTTACAGGTAAATCATCGCTAGGTGTTGGTCTCTTCCGATTGGTGGAAGCAGCTGATGGTGAAATTGTAATTGATGGTGTGTCGCTAGGTAAGATTGGACTCAGTGACCTCAGATCAAAGCTGTCAATCATTCCACAAGATCCAGTCCTTTTCCTTGGAACTGTCAGGTACAGAAAAGATTATCATTACATTAATTTACAGTATTATTCAGATAATCAGATTTATAATGTTGCATTGCTCACTACATATTTTTGTATTGTGGGACATTATTCTATTGCACTGTAGGACTTGATAGAATAAATTCTTGTGTATAGTTGGACATAGGCTATGTTCTCACATGGCAGCTAACAGTTAGCAAGATCCGGATCCTGCTAACCGTTAGCTGCTGTGCGTCCATACGAGAAGATCCCGATCCGGATACCAAGAATATGATGATCGAATCACTGGCCAATAAAAAACTGGAAATTGTAAACGTGTATGTGTGATTGGTTGATAATAAAAACGCGCTCAACTTGCTAACCGATAGCGCTTGCTAACCGTTAGCGGTATCCGGGTACCGCTAACGGTTAGTGCTAACCGATCGGCCGTTCTCACGCAGGTGCTAACGGTTAGCGCTAACGGTTAACTCTCGATCCGGATACTAGGGCTCTCGTGAGAACCAGGCTTCAGTATTGCATTGTGGGATGTTTACTGTTGTATTGTTTGATATACAATATCTTGACCATAACAAGCCAATTTGAGCTAGTTAAAGCTCTTGTCTCAATTTATTTTATTTTAAATAAATATATGTACTGTTACACTGAGGAATTGTATCCTATTAATTTCTATTAGGATGTATTTTATATCATGGGATATATTAGATGCACACTTTAAGAATTCTTTTGCATTATGGGAATTCTTTGGTTGCATTGGACATGTGTACATTTTTGGCCTGAACATTTCATTGCCTTACGCATTATTTCTCCCAACATTTAAATAACTACAGATACAATTTGGATCCTAATAATTCTTTCGAGGATATACATTTATGGAAGGCACTTGAAAGAACATACATGAAGGAAAAGGTAAAAGAACATTGGCGAATAGTATCAGTTAAAGCCAACTCAGACAGTGTTATACGATGCAGCCCGACACCGTTAGTTTACACGCTGGGTTTGTGTGACGTAAATGCAGACGTGACAGGTCTGTGTCAGGGACAGTCGCGTCGTAGAATATCAAGCATGTTTAATACTCTCCCAAAGACCTAAAGCCTGTCCCAGATGATACATTGCATCGTGCTATGTCATACAATGCTGTCTGAGTTGGCCTTTTATTGTATTCAATTTTATGGTGTGTAATAATTATGTAGCACTGGTATCTGCAAAATCAATCTGTTCTTACTGCGCTTGAGGCATTCAGTCTCCTGGTCATTGTGCACTTTTCAAACCTGTATTGTTGGGGGTTGCAATGGATGTGAGTAAGACACACCCCCCCCCCCCAAGTCGAATATAAATGTTGTCATTTTCTGTAATAAAACTTAAAGGGAATCTTTTTTCAAATCATTTTGAACCAGTGTAACCTATTAGAACCCCTGCCACACCATGCAACACCAAAGCTGTGATTCAACCATGTTTTAGTATTGGCTAATATCAATGTGTACATATGTATTACTACATAAACAAGACAATGTCTAATTTACTAATACAAATATAAACAAATCTAAAATTCTCAAAAAATGACATTTTTTTTTTCAGATTCAATCATTAGATAATAAGCTGGAGTCAGCTGTCGTTGAAGGAGGAGATAATTTTTCAGTTGGTGAAAGGCAGTTACTCTGTATGGCCAGAGCATTGCTGCGCAACAGTAGGGTAAGGAATACTTCTGATTTAATAACTCGGTGTTGAAGAAGTTTGGCGCAGCGGGAACGGTTTGGTTTCCCAACCTTGAGGACGGTGTTTCAATCCCTCGCTGTACATTTCACTTGTGTCCTTGAGCAATACACTTTATCTGCATGGCTTCTCTCCACCCAGGAGTATAAATGGGTACCTGGTGGGGTTGCCTGCTCCTGCGCTGATTACCAGTAGCAACACTTAGCATGTGGACCCAATGACCAGGGAAAAGAACTGCGCTTTATAACCGCAAGGAAGAAGTGCAATATAAATTCCCATACTAGTACCAGTCAGTGCATTAATGTTGTCATACCATCAACATAATCACATTCATTTATTCGTCCATCTTTATTATCATCATCTTCATCATCATCATCTTCATTATTAACATTATTCTATCTTCATCATAGTCATCATTATATCAACGTTCTTCCATCTTTTATATTTTGATAAAAATATATTGTAACATCAAATGCTTGAATAGAACTGTTATTTTTTTGTTCAGAATATCCAAAGTTCTGATTGATTTGATTCGATAGTCATCAGGAGAATAATCGAAACATTGGATGTTCTCAAAAAACCCTGCTCCTTTTAGAACTACCTTTGTTTTTTGACTGCAAGCATTTAACATATTGTTACTTCACCATGCAAGCTTCAATTTATTTTTTTGTAATAATGATCATTGAATTCCAGGTGTTGATGCTAGATGAAGCCACGGCAGCCATTGATACTGAAACAGACAGTTTGGTTCAGAAGACAATCCGTGAAGAATTCAAAAGTTGCACAATGCTAACAATAGCTCATAGACTCAACACCATAATGGACTGTGATAAGATTCTTGTCATGGATGCTGGAAAGGTATTACTATTTAAATCTCTTAAAATTTCATTGTAGTAATAATAATAATCAGAATTATATAGTACAAATAATGTACATATTCTATGTCTTTTTTTAACTGTTTGTTACCTTACTGTACTTTCTCAAAATCATTCAAGAACGTTGTTATTTTGTGGGTCCCGAGGGCCTGTCCCATATGTTCTAGTTAATTAGCAAGTATTAATTTAATGTATAGCCTAAAACACTTTTCGCTCATTTGACTAAGCTGGTGTTAGCACTGTGTGTCTATTGAACGATGGAGATCTCTACAAACCCTTAATTTTCTTTTACAGTTTTACATTACATTTAATTTTGGGTCTAAAAAAATAAATTATAGATTGTAAGCTTCTATTTACATTTTATTACAGGTTGCTGAGTATGATAAGCCTGCGACGTTATTGGCTAATTCAAAATCCATATTTGCTGGAATGGTTGCAGCAGCTGAATCACAGATCCATTGATTAGCAACAGCTCCATTATGAGGTCTAAAGTTTTGTCCAGGATATCAAACTGTATTTGACCAAGACATGTGCATGATGACATCACACCACAGTCATGTACTGGCACATCATGACTATATATGGGCATATAACAGATTTCTGTTGAAGAAAATAAATTAAAACTAAACTAAACTAAATTATCTTGACAGATCTTAATGATGCAAAAAACTTTAATATACTTTGAATCAGCTGAAGGTGATGTAGTCTGTAGAATTTGCTAGTTAAATAATTTATTAATGTGTAATCTGAAATGTTTAAACAAATGACAAATTTAGCCATATTTGTTCAACCATATGTTGAGCCATATATGGAAAATGCATATGTGCTCTAAAGTAATGGTGCTTGCTTGTCTCTGTGTGATCCAAAATTACAAAATATGTTTTTTTTTTTAATGAGAATGTATGAAAGGCTATGGTGAACCAATTTATGTGTTTAATATAAAATGATTTCATTATATTTTTACAAGTATAATTTCATTTAATTTTTATACAGATACATGAGTAGTTTTGCATTGTTGGTAATTTATAAATATTAGATTTAAAAAACATTCCAAAATATATGAATATCTAGATAAATTTTAAGCTGATAGAGTTGAAATATATAAATTATTTATCCATTTTAAAGAAATTTTGATAACAGAAATATACTTTAAAACATTACATTAATCTTGCTTGCAAGTTTTAAATACCAAGTGGTAAAATAAATTGTACTTGGATGATATATGTTATTGTTTAATATTATGTGCTGCATTCAATAGTGTTTTATTGTTTAACATTAGGTGCTGCCCTCTATAGTTTATTGTTGATTAACATTATCAAAGAGTATAAATAGAACAAGAGAGCCAACAACGCTCATTGGGAGCGTAAAAAAACGATACGCTCTACGCAGCTAGTGTAGGACGCCAACTAACGCTTGTATATGTTTTATTACCCAGTACTGCACCGCGCACTGTAGGTTTGTCTGTTTATCTGTTCTCCACAAGATATTGTGCTTTTGTTTTCTGCTTACTGAGTTTATAGCGGGCGTACTTCTACCGCGCTGCGCAGCCCTGCACTGGGTAATAAAAAGAATATACAACCGTTAGTTGGCGTCCTACACATGCATGACGTTTTTACGAACTGGACTTTGCTCTCTTGTTCTATTTATACTCTTTGACATTATGTACTACCCTCTAGTAAAATTGGTGCTGTCTTCTATAATGGAATGTTTTAATAGATTTACAGAAAGAATTATTTGAGCGTGAGCGGAGTAATTTTTATATATTATAGTAATTTTACATACACTTGATTTGGCATGTACATAATTCAGGCCTGCAGTTTAGTCAACAAGTAAATATATTTCCCACCACTTTTTTTTGACCAATCATATTTTATGCTTCAATCATGTGTTCATCTTAATAAAAGTTATATTGTACTCTAATACATAGATACATAAATGTCTTTGTGATAGATTAGATCCTATGTTTTCCAGTGTATTCGATATGCTCCAAATAATAATAATAATGTTTTATGGAAAGGATTAGCAAACAAATCATGTGTGTTTTAATGATAATATTGTATATAGAGGGTCTTAAGAAACTCAATCATGCATGCAAGATGATTTTGAGTTTATATTAGGTAATAATTTACCATATGTACATAAACAAATATTCATTCCAGGTCTTGGTACTCAAATTGAAGTTATACTTTTCATATTTTGATGGCCACTCTTATCTGATTGTAATTATTAATTGTAAATTAATAATTAATTCATCTCAGTTATGCATAGTAATTGCTCATCAAGGCGCGACAATAAAAAAGTTAATTACGCTTTTATATTCTCGATCATTAATCCTATATTGTGTAATGTTAATTAATGTTAATGTCTAATTATATTAGTATTTTTAATTTTATTAAATTATATGTTAGTGTTAATTTTTGTTAAATATTATATATAATAATGTCACAACGTTTTAATGATTATAAGTATACAATTAGTTAACATCATAATAAGTATAATGTCATGTGTCTGATGATAATTAAGTTGGATATTAGTATAGTTTTAGTTAGTGCTACAGTATTATTTTAGTTAATGTAATGTTAATTTTAGTTAATATAATGTACGTAATGTAGCTCCCTATTCCCTATATTTATTAAGGCGGCAAACTCCTTGAATATGCTTAAGGCCACCAAAAAAACCATCTTTTTAATATCAAATTTTTTTCCTTTGTGTTTAATAGCGCTCTGACAGATATTATAGGGTGCTATATTAAAAACTATTATATTATTATTAAATGTTTGTAAAGTTTATTGTTTAATTGCAAATTAAAATCATGAGAAATAGTAGTACGTGTTGATTATGTAGTCATAATATTTTTCTAAAGAGAGAAGTTTTGTTACATACATATAATTTTTTGCAATTCAAGATAGTGTATATATTTCTACACAATATATATATCACATAGTTTTCTCCACAATTTTTATGTATGTACTTATAATGTTAATATAATTAGGGAGGTGACTGCTCTCTGATATAATACAATCATTACTTTTATGATATGACAACATTTGGGTAAATACCGTGGAAATCGACGCAAATATTGTTCTTTATAATTAAAATGTTACTTTTTAATTGGTGTTGATTTTAGTAGTGTTTATTTTATCTAATATGTGTGATTTGTTTATTTTAACTTTTTTAAATGTAAAAGGGTTATAACTCGAATTCGCCTATGCTAGAGTTCAGGGTAAGTGCGCCCTCACTAATTGTCATGACAATGATTATGTACAAATGTAATAATAATTCTGGATGTATTAGACTTAGCAGCTAAGTAGGCATTGTCTTTGTGCTTTCCACAGTTCTTGAAAAAGAAAGTATATTTTATTTTAATTTTCAGAAAGTTATTAAATACTGTATTGATATTTTCTGACCCCTGAATGTTTATCAAAAATAAAACAAAATATGATGTAAAAATTAAATTTGTATTTGAGTTCATTATTTTTGAAAAGTCAAAAATAACATGTTAACACGGTATATAGCTTCAGTACATTCAACTAAATTCTCAAAGTGGCTGAATGATTTAAAACAACCTAATTCACAGATTGCCAAAGAGAGCAGCACGCATAGTTACAAATAACTTTGATTATACTGTACATGGAGAAGAAATTTTTCATGGAAATTGCATAGCATTGCATGTTTAGGCCCTTAATGTTTAAACGGCATTGCACTTCATAGAACTTGTAATTGAATAGAAATGGTATTTGATCTGACAAGGGTATGACACAAGAACTGCAGATTCACTTAACATTGTACCGCCAAAAGTAAATTTAAATATAACCAAGACGTACATGTATATAATGGTATAGTATGACTAAGCTGTTTATATTTCTTAAAACAATTTTACTGATCTTTTTACTATTGAATGTTATTATTTTAATATTTGACTAAGACGTGTATCATTAATTGTATTACCTTACCTTGTGATATTAACATTGTTAACGTAAAAAAAAATAAAATCAGTAGGCCTATTCTGTGTGTTGTAGAATAAACTTGCATCGAAATTAAGACTCTTCTCAATTGTTTTAATCTAAACAGGACCATTTTTAAAAACACTGCTACATATTGTCTGAAATTGTATCCTGTATATGTTTTAAATAAATAAATCACAACTTTACGAGAACAGACCTGACGACGTCATTGAAATTCATGAAACTGATAGTTGTTAGAGTTTCGAGAAGACCTCGCATGCGACCGGACCTTGATTCTTGCAACCTAGAAGTTCCCGTAACAGCCAGAACCTGCTGACAGGTCGTTTGGAGTCAATTAAAGGTCCACTGAAACTAAATTTCCTAGCCTAGCGAAAACGAAAACCCTCATTTTTCAACAAGTTTATGGACAATTCAAATTTCGATACAGCGCCTCTGCAAAGGGCGCTATATCTATGTATGTACAGTATGTTCAGTATGTATGTATGTATGACAAAATCAAGGGTTTCAAAGGTTATTTTTTTCTATCATACGAATTGTTTTTTCTTTAAGACTGGGGTGGGAGGATGGAAGGGGGAAGCACATCCCGACGGGCGCCACCCCTAAAAGGACTCATGACATCCGGCAGAAACAGAGACAGGTTAAGGCTTAAATATAATATGTTGTCGATGCTATAAGTTTTTCTAGTTTGATATGTCTCCATTATCAGTATTATTTGCGAAACTGGAAAGAAACTGAGCCTCAATCTAAAAAGATTCTGAAATTATAACTAATTCCTGAAACGTCTACCGTACCCTTGTTACACTGCCATGCCAAGGTCAGAATAAACACTAATTCCCGAGTGATACCGGATGCATTTCTATTTACATCGAACTAAAAGTCTGGGTTGATCCCATGAGTCGTACCCATTCTCGAGTCGTAATGGAGCCGCAATAATTGTCAATTTTAAAGAATTTTTTTTTGTTTATTATACGAATTAAATCAGCAATTTTGTTGTAAAGTTTATATACGAAAGTTTTGTGGCCTAGCCAGTTGCTAGAAAAGGTTATGTCTACCTGATCACAGCTGCGGTAGGCGCCAGTTAAGGCATATTATCCGGAAGCGAATTTGGTGTTTTACCTGAGCTGTCCAACTCCGAATTTTTCCCGCACATTGAACCCGATATATTTGACAACCCGAATCATAAGTTTGCCGTTTACAAAGCACAACTACGGAGTTTCTAGTCCGGGTGATTGGAAAATTCCGGGTTGTGTCCGGAGTTTTGCTTAGAATGTTAAAAGAGCAGTGTGAACAAGGCCACCGGAGAGGGGGAGGGTTGGGGCGGGTCAGGGAGGAAAGATCTTCGGCGGCCCAAGCTTACCAGGGAGCACAAGGAATTGCAGGTAGCATTTTTTCCCCAAAAATAACAATTACTATAATGGGCCCTCAATAATGGCATGGGTCCCGTAATAATGGGCCCTTCCAAATTGACAGGCCCCCCAAACTTTTGAGCAATCTTTCTCGCGCTTCACGCTCGTAACTGGTGGACCACATCAACCCTTTCCCCGTTAAATTTTCTCCTCATGGCGGCCCTTAGTGTGGGTGATCGCTTCAATCTTCAGCGTAAAGTTCGGTACAGACTATTTTATTTGACAACAAAAACATTTGACATGCTTAAATATGGGACCACACCATGAACATATTATTATCTAGGCATATCATGACATATGACATTAAATCAAATCAATTTTTTCCGGCATATTAAAAAGGACAGATGCCAGGATAGCCCATGAAAGTTGTCTAAAATAAAACATATTGAATGATATTACAGAGCAGTAAAACAGATTTGAAATGTATTTGAACAAATATTTAAACTGATCTTTGAAAGGATATAGACTATCTGGACATAGCAGTTTAACAAATTGTAAAAAACTTACAAACAAAAACGTGCGGGGGAAGATATTTCAAATGTTTTGGCATAATTGAAAAGCATGTTGTATTGTATGTATTGAATTGTATACAAGCTGGAGTTGTAGAGTAACGTATAGTAATACAGGGGAAAATATCGAAATAATTTTTACCCTCGTCTCTCCAAAGAAGAGCTGAAGGGTATTGCTCAAAACCCTCAAACCGCTGAACCTATTTACTTCAAATTTTTACACATTGATATTGCTACAAGTAGGCCTATCTCGGTCCTCCTCGGATTTGGTGCTATAGGAAGTTAAATGCAGACTTTAGAATGATTTAGATATTTTTCGGCCGCAGCAAGGCCAACTCGAGCAGATAGTTCGACCTTGTCGTTTTGCTATATAGACCGAGCCGGCTTGAACTGATCGACCGATGTCCAACTCGAGCGGATTTGGCCTGTGTCAGATTCTGGCAGGCGGACTGGAAGCGGCTTCGTTTGGCGGACAGAGCGTGTCATGTTATTTTTTAAGTACATACATATGGCTAATAGGGTGGAAGTATGTTAATCTCAGATTACCTTGTTTATTAATGCATAGGTCTGAGAACCAATCTATATACGTTTGTGAATGTTATTATTATTCATTAAGGTAGGTTGGTTATTAAGATTATTTATTTGATCATGTATATGTTGTTTTTTTTTGTTCATTATGTGGAAACAAATATTTCACGTCCGACCATAACGCATCATCAGACCAGCTGGTCGCCTGTGGCTAAAATCGTTAAACAATTGATAATATGATGATTATGATGCTGATGATGATAATGATGATGATGATGATGGTGGTGGTGGCATGGTGGTGATGAAGATGATGATGAGATAATGGTAACGCGATGACAGATGATGATGATAATGGTGATGTTTCGTATTCCTGTTTCTTTTGTTTTTTTGTGTGATTAATTCTTCCAGATTGGCTAAAACTAATACCTATTGGTGTTTAGTGGGTGATTATTGTCATTAATTTTAATATTATATTTTGTAAGCATGACCTTTTCGCATATTATTATAAATTTCATGTACTTCAATTCATTCTCTGCTTCATGAATCCTGTTAGGGCCTAGTTCATTAAAGTTGTTCTTTGTGAGATTAGACAAACTATACAACACAAAGTAATAACAGATAAGTAATAACGGACTGTAGTAAAATAAGACTAAACTCTACCGTAAATTCGTTCACTCTAAGGCGATAACATAGTAATCCTATGGGAATATAATATAGAAAATTATTTCCTTGTCGGCGTTCCTGGAAAATACACAGGAGGAGGTGTTTGGCATCATCCATTAATAATGTGTGTTAGATATTTCATCTTATTGATACATAGATTACTGAAATCAAAGTAAAATTGTGGTATACATTTTTAAAAATAAATTTCACTGATTTTGACGACTGTAAATTCCAGCAATATTTTCCATTCTTAACGTTTACATTTTTAAAAGCGAATCTTTGAGGACGCCTTGTACAAACGTGGATTATAACCCGAAATTTAATGGTTCGTCCATGGTATGTTATTTCAAGACGCCACTTTTAACTAGGAAATGAAATGTATATTATCGAAATCGTCTTCACTTTTTAACAGTGCGGTATTATTAATATTACAAGACGTTCTTCGACCACATTGACCAGGTATGATATTAGTCTATTATATAAAAGTTTGTTAATGATATAATTAATTAAAAAGCTAATGTCGAATTGCAGTTTAAGTGTAACGTTAAGGGTAGAACATGTTGTTAGTATTTAATTATGAAATAATGGTTGACTATTCTCCCCCCGTACATCCGTCGAAAATCGTCAGAATTTCTTCTATTATCTAAACTTTTTGTTTGATAGTGTGATCTAGTTCTTATTCCAAATGAAGACAACTTTGTTACCAGGGGTTTTATGATCTTTATAGGAGCTTTGGTCCCTGGCCTTATTAGAAAAACATATAAATGTAAAAGATAGACATTTATTAGGGGCTGTAAAAAGGTGGTCTCTAATTAGAGATGGCCTTTAAATAGAGTCTTAGGCAGACCTGTATTTATAGTTAAACAGCTTATAAAAGTATATTTTATTGTACGTGTAGTTGTATAGCTTTTTTTTTGGCATCATGTTTTTGTTTTAATTCATTACGGTACTTCAGCACTATAATATATTCGTCAGCCTTTTCCATAGCACTAGGTACAAATACTCATTTTAGATTTTAGTTTCATGATGAAAACAGCTGAACTCCAAATTGATTTCACTGAAATTGAAATACATTTGACACCGACGCATGCAACAGTGTAAGTTTCCAAATCAGATTCCGATGCTGAATACTTCTGGATGTATACATTGTCGTAACAATGGCTACAGACGTACTGTAGGGGGGACATTTCGTAACTCTTAGCAGGGAACATAGCTGTATATTATCCAAGTATGTTTTAAATAATTACTCAATACCGTAAAAAGAAATTCAGAATAATATGTAAATTTGGAAAGGTTAGGGGGCGCTAAGTAAAAGAATGAGGTGTGCTGAAGTGATTTTTAGCTACTTCGAGGAGAGGGTGTGAACATTTTCTAGGGGAGTTCTCCCAGGATGACTCTGTCTATTGTACTGCTTGTATTAACTTTTTGGGCAAACATTATTATAATTAGAATCTTATTAAATCTAGCGCCAGAAGTTATTCAACATAGGACCTTTATTAGAGTGGGGGCGAAAGTTATAAAACTTAGACTTTACATTTAGGAGCTTGAGGTACTTTGATGTCTACATACCAACGCATTGCAAATATTGAGACAACTAAAAATAATGTTACAAAATGACCGTGATTCGTTACAAAAAGTCCGTAGCCCACAGTGATACAGAATGCCCGTTACAAAATATATATAGGATTTATTTATATTTTTGTTATTGTTCTTAGAGCACCACTGCGATGAAAATAGTAATTGCTATATTCATATGCATAGTATGTATCCTGGAGATGGCACACGTGGACGCTTGCAGCCGAAATAGCGGATGCTCTCCTGTGAATTGTGCGTGGGGTAACTGGCAAAGTTGGGGTGCCTGTTCTATAACCTGTGGATATGGTGGGACAGAAAGGAGAAGTCGAACTAAGATTAGATCTGCGTCTTGTGGAGGTGCAGCGTGTACTGGTTCGTCTCAGGACCAGAGAGTCTGTTCGCCTGGATGTACTCGTGGTACTGCGGTGCAAGGACATTGCGCATATTGTCCTTTTCCATACACCGGCAACTGCTGCGAACGTCGCTCATGCTATCCTGTGAATTGTGCGTGGGGTAACTGGCAAGAATGGGGTGCCTGCTCTATAACCTGTGGACATAGTGGGACAGAAACAAGGATTCGAACCGTGATTAGATCTGCGTCTTGCCAGGGCACAGCGTGTACTGGTCCGTCTCAAGAACAGAAAGTCTGTTCGCCTGGATGTATACATGGAACTGCGGTGGCAGGATATTGCGCAAATTGCCCTTTTCCATATACCGGCAACTGCTGCGAACAGTTCATTGAAGGTACTTTAATATATTTTTTATTTTGTTTTATTTCCTTCACACCCAACAGCAAATACACTCGCCACTTCATACAGGATGAGAATGATGCTTTATAAAATAAGCCTCTTTATGAGGCTTAGGGAGTGGTGTTGTTTTTGGTTGAGAAAAAGTCCTGCTGTGACAGGAATTGAACCCAGGACCCTGGGATCAGAAGGCAAGCATCTTAACCACTGAGCTATTCAACTCCACTCCCATGTATATATTTTAACATAAATTAATGCAAGGTTTACTCCATCAGTACAGTTTAACTATGCCTTTACTTTGCTAATGATCATCAATACCTTATGTAACATTTAGGCCCTAAAAAAAAAAAATTAGACCTGGAACTCAGGTTAGAGGGTCAAGACTGTCCTACTGGGGAGAATCCAGGACTTTCTTATTTAACAGTTAGTGACAATCTATGCAGTGTATACAACTGGGATACGTACATGGGCCCCGATTGCTTACAGTGTAGGCCTACATCCTAGCTAAATTGTAAAATATGGGTTTGTGGTACTACATTAAGAAAGATAAAGATGTTCTTGGGTTTGTGTGCCCATATGTGTGTAAATACTTATAAATAAATGCTTTTGATGTGTAAAAGTTACAAAAAGTCATGGTTTGTTGTTTTATTTCAGTTTACAATCAATTTTATTTAGACTGACTTAAGTTAACGGTACCTCGAATAATGAATACCGTACCCATATATCCCCATTTGTTAGCCCAGAGTTGTATTCATAAAATATTTTTTTTTATTTTTTCTCTGTTGAAGTATTTAAATATAATATAATGTCTTAAGTTTAATAGTTAGGTTAGGTTAAGCCATCTAAAATATTTTAAGAAAATTTAACAAAAAGTGACCTAATTTACCCCATCTTACGGTAATAATACTCTCTATTAAGCGCCGCGTGATTTCGAGAGCGGCGCTTATTCGATTTACGGTAGTAGTGTAATTCCTTCAATAAAACATTTAGAGTTTCCGGGTTTATGACCCTAATTAAATTGTAAAATATTTCCTTTCAGGTGACCCTTGCACGACACATATTGAGCTGAGTCAACCCTGGCGAAGTATCAGTTATTCCCCAGAGCAAGACAATTCTTATCACTATACCAACCTGCTCAACTATTGGTACCGTTTCGTCGGTGGGGGCGGTGGAGACATGCCGACCAAGTGCGTAAAGGCCAAAAGTTGTGGGGTTTTGAAACCCATTTGGATGTCTGGTGAGTAGTCCTGCCAGCACATTTATTACAGTAGCTTCGAGACCATCATTTTTACAAAACTAGGACATAAATTGGTTTAATATTATTATTTTATTATTACTATTGCGCTCATTCATTCGTTGTCAGAACAAGGCGGTAAAATCCATTAGGTGGTTGGCGGACAGGATCTTAAATTATATATGTATATATATATAATATATATATATGCCTACTGTTTACGTTTCCACGCTTAGGCCTGCTAATAAGAACGTCCGCAGCTAGTAATATATACTACATTCGCATAAAGATAATTAAGTTTATGTTTCCGGTTTTCTTTATAACTTACCGGTATGTGTTTAAGGGACAAATATTATTTACCTTAAATTACCCATTTGCCGACGGTGCAATAAAGGAACCAAATATAATGGGGCATTTACAATATTACAAGTTAACCTTTAGACTTTTTTTGTAATACTTTAATACAGCGAAAAAAGTAAAAAAAATGCACTAATAATTAGTATAGCACTATACTTTTCCAGAAGAGCTAGTCAAAGTCATACTTTCCGTATTATATACTTAATTGCTGATGAGGATGGTGGTTATCAACGGTGACGATAACGATGATGATGTTAATGATGAGGATTATCGACGATGATGAAGATTATGATGATGATGATGATGATGATGATGATGATGATGGTAAAGATGATGATAATGATACTGATTTTAAAACAAATTTGCATTTTTATAAACAGGTCATCATCCGACTTCGGACGAGGGCGTTATAAACAGGACCGTATGTACCAGTGTAACCGACAACGGAAAAGACAACTGTTGCATCCGTTCGCACACAATTGAGGTAAAGAACTGTGCCGACAAGTTTTATGTCTACAAACTGTTCCAGCCTCAGGATTCTGACGAAAGCTTCTGCGCAGGTAAAATTTAATATCAATTTAGTGATCAGTTTAAGAACAGTTAAATTAGAATTATATGATGATGATGATGATGATGATGATGATGATGATGATGATGATGATGATGATGATGATGATGATGATGATGATGATGATGATGATGATGATGATGATGATGATGATGATGATGATGATGATGATGATGATGATGATGATGATGATGATGATGATGATGATGATGATGATGATGATGATGATGATGATGATGATGATGATGATGATGATGATGATGATGATGATGATGATGATGATGATGATGATGATGATGATGATGATGATGATGATGATGATGATGATGATGATGATGATGATGATGATGATGATGATGATGATGATGATGATGATGATGATGATGATGATGATGATGATGATGATGATGATGATGATGATGATGATGATGATGATGATGATGATGATGATGATGATGATGATGATGATGATGATGATGATGATGATGATGATGATGATGATGATGATGATGATGATGATGATGATGATGATGATGATGATGATGATGATGATGATGATGATGATGATGATGATGATGATGATGATGATGATGATGATGATGATGATGATGATGATGATGATGATGATGATGATGATGATGATGATGATGATGATGATGATGATGATGATGATGATGATGATGATGATGATGATGATGATGATGATGATGATGATGATGATGATGATGATGATGATGATGATGATGATGATGATGATGATGATGATGATGATGATGATGATGATGATGATGATGATGATGATGATGATGATGATGATGATGATGATGATGATGATGATGATGATGATGATGATGATGATGATGATGATTATGATGATGATGAGGATGATGATGATGATGATGATGATGGTAAAGATGATGATAATGATACTGATTTTAATACAAATTTGCATTTTTATAAACAGGTCATCATCCGACTTCGGACGAGGGCGTTATAAACAGGACCGTATGTACCAGTGTAACCGACAACGGAAAAGACAACTGTTGCATCCGTTCGAACACAATTGAGGTAAAGAACTGTGCCGACAAGTTTTATGTCTACAAACTGTTCCAGCCTCAGGATTCTGACGAAAGCTTCTGCGCAGGTAAAATTTAATATCAATTTAGTGATCAGTTTAAGAACAGTTAAATTAGAATTATAGAGTTAACATGCAAGTTAATATTAAACAAGTTAACAAATAATAACAAAGAAAAAGTACGACTACCATAACACTGTCGGTTGATGAATTCCATTCTCTTTTGATCTTTTGACGAGACGTCATATAATGAATGAGCATTTTCATTAAAATCGATCCGTTACACGCTCCTCCTCGTCGCGTTGCAGTCTTCGTTTGATCTCGTCAGCCAACGACCGGCGACACAGGGTGTGCCCGGCTTTAAATGAATCAAAAGAATTAAATAGGATGGAGTTGGTCAGATGATTTACACACGGAATACTTAGAATAGTACAACAGACGAACTAGACCAGAATTAATTATATGCCCTACTTTTATAACTAAATGGTTTTGTTCCATAAACAAGTTTATTTCATTTGTTTTAATATAATCCACGTTTAATTGCCCTCTTTTTGTGACACCTTCGGGTATTTCTTTATTAGTGCTGGGCCGCTTAGGCAAAATATTGTGATTCGAGAGCCAACGCTCATTGGTAATTGAATAAATAAATTGGTTCACAGGTAAAGAAGAACCCTGTCCACCGGGAACGAAGTCAGCGAATGGTTACACGCCTAGTTGTATGGGTAAGTTTTTGGAGCTTCAATTCTTTTAAAGAGTGAGAAATAATTTTTATGTTAACAATATCCTTTTAATTGAGGATATAATAATACAATAATAGTTGCAATTATAATGATAATGATGATGGCGAGGATGATTTAGATGATGATGATGGCGACGACGGTGATATCAACGATGATATAATTTATGGTGATGATTATAAAATTGACGACAAATGTAATTTTGATAGTACAGTATATAGTGATAATGATGGTATTGTTGGTGGTTGTGGCGGTGGTGTGGTGGTGGTGACATTGATATTGAAGTTTGTTGGTGATGATAATTAGTAGGCTTTATAGATATTATTATTGTTAAACCAGTGGCTGACATGATCCAGACATTTTTTGTAGGTAGCAATCGAGGTCCTAATGTCCGAAGAGGGCGCAACCTATGGTTGGGAGCGGAAGCGGAAGTTTCGGGATTTTAATAATTTTATTAATCTCCCTATCTAAATTATTGTACACATGGCTGTTGCCGGAGAGAGGTGAAAAATGCGAGTGCATCTTTCTTACCACCCTCTCCCTGAATCCGCCACTGATTGTTACAGCTTGGAATTTTCAGCGAAGGAGATATTTAGATTATATAAAATTGATTATTTAAATAATTATAATGTATTATCCTTGAATAATTCATGTTTCAGCCGATCCACCACCTGAAACATGCTCACCGATTTTGGAATATATTGAGCAAACAGACGGATTCCAGTTTGTTTGTAGCTTCGATGTTCAATACCAGAGCAACATAACATACGACGTCAATTGGTATGCTGGAGGAGTGGTTCTTGATGACTTTGCGACATCCGTACTCTTTGGGAGTACCGGTACGGCTACACTGCGTGTAAAGCAACTGACGAGTGTCATGACAACAACTATTACAAAGGTAAGACTTCCACAACATTCAATGTTAATTTATAATTTATTTAAATGAACATTTATTGGATGCACTAAAACCGTATTCTTACTTTATTATCATTTTCTTTCGTGTTCCGTTATTTGTTATCTTTTATCTGTTTACTATTTTTTTTTTGTAATTCGTTATTGTTATTTTAATGTATCTATTTTCTTTCTTATTCTGTAATTCGTAATACTGTATAAAATTAAATTGTATACACCTACAATATATATTTCTTTGTTGTTATGTATTTCAATTTTGGAAGTGTCTTTCAATTATACAAAAACCAATTTTTTTTCTCATTTACGGTACCTTGCTGTTAATGTCTAACCTGGTGGCCGGGCGTCCCTGACATTAAACTCACTTGCACATACCAAGTGTATTTGTTAATTCCAGACTAAAAGTCCATTCGCTAAACCACTTATCTTGTAAAGCGCCACAAAGAATGCACTAAATTCTACATTTTTACATGCTATAGAAAACAATACAACGTCATTCAACACCTTTGAATGGGAAGTCAAATTTGGAGCAGATTAAGATGGTGAAGGGGGTGGGGGGAGTCGTTGTGTTTTGGCTAAGAACTACCTTATTCGGCCCTTTTACAATCACAATACATAACAATTCCGGCATTTACCAGATGGCACTGAGCAGAACTAATACTGTTCCCACCAGACCCGTGAAAGTTTTGCTTAGTAAGAAATTATGCTCAATCATTTTATTGATTTCCAGATAACCTGTTCTCTGTCAGCACGGTATATTCATGTTGATGGTACTCCATTAAGTGGAGCTACGTTACCAAAAGAAAGCAATGCTCTTGACTTCGTAGTTGCCTAGAAACCTCGTGATCATATCTTAGTTATCGAAGATCTCGAAAGTATCCACGTACATCATACATTGAAATTTTATTTTTCAATTTTGATTTTGTATAGATATTATATAATTTACGTTTAAGCCCTGCTTGTGTTTACGCAACAGCCCACTGCTTAGTCTTTTAAGTACGATTTAGGCTACTTAGCTATTATTCTTCAAGTTTTATCTACAGTGAAGTCACGGCATTATGAACACAGGGTACTTCAAAATCAATTTTAACTTGAATGAATTCAAAGTACCGTATACTGTTTATACATGGTTTGTTATGAGGAATGATATAAACATGACAATTTACCGCTAATACAGAACAGTAAAGCAGATCTAAAATGTACAAACTGTAGAACATAGGGGACAAAATATGCGGAGGCCCACAGATATTTTATTTGTTTTGGAATAATTCAAACGTACGTTATATTGTATGCATTGTATTGTACACTAAAGCCTGACACTCACACTCACTCACTCGTACGACCGTCGCACGACGAATCCACATTTGCTTCCGTCGAGCGATAGACGACGCAACGCCGTCTGCTTATTGTCATTGGCAATCTGAACGGATCCTCATTAAAAAGACTATCCGTTGGGTCCGCTTCTTCGCGTGCGTTCTTCGTCGCGTTGCCGTCGCATCGCCGTCGCACGCACTGAGTAACCGGCTTTAATACATCGAATTAATATTATTATTATTATTATTATTATTATTATTATTATTATTATTATTATTCATTAATTAGGTTGGTTATATTTTAACATAAGTTATTCTTTTCAACTGGACCTATTATTTGTTGTGACAATATATGATAATATATCATCAGACTAATTGGTTTTCTGTGGCTAAAGGTTGTTGATCAATATAATGATAATATGAGTAGGGTGGTGATGATGATGAAGATGGTTGGATGATGTTGATGAAATGAGGGATGATGAGGATGATGATGATGTTGTAATGGTGATGGTTATGGTAATGATGTTGATGGTGGTGATGATGATGAAGAAATTGTATTAGGAATGTAGTGTGGAAAACCTGTATATTCACCATAAAAAAAGATCCTAAAATATTACATGTTGTATTTAGAGACGAATACAAGTTCAGAATAACCAAACAAGAAACGGTATTGCTTACTGTTTATACATTACTATAGCTTAACTGCTTATTTCATGATTGGACCTAGCCACCTTGGTATAAGCATGTTATAGAGTAAACATTCATAATTTTAAATAAATTAAAAAAAAACAATGAGGCTTTAGATTCAGATTCAGATACATTTATTTGTCATATACATACAACATGATATTTTTCTACCTGGGTTATTGCAACAATCACAAACCACAATATAAATTTACACTTTAATACGATATTATAAACAATGAATGAATTGATTTAAAAGAACAAAAAAGAAACCTTAGTTTAACAGTTGCCAAAGGGATAGCACTTAGAAAAAAAAAAGGTTTGTGTGCATTTGTTTTGTTATTTGGTGTGGTCATTCTTCCAGATCGGCTAAAGCTATATATTGCTGTTGTTGAGTTGGTGATTATTGTCATTAATTATTATATCAAGTTTAGTGAACATGGCCTTTTCGCATATATCATAGATATCATTTACTTCATACTCAGGAATATACAGGTTTTCCCTATTAATTTGCTTGCAGTATGGTGGTTCTTGTTAGTTTTCCTTTGGAAGGAAATACAAACAAATCATACAGCAAACAGTAATAACAGACTATATTACACCTTGGTAAAATGTACACTTTTCGATTGTAAGGTGATGACATGGGAATCCTATGGGAAAACGATATAAAAAATTGTTTCCGCGTTCCTTAAAGAAAATGACCTGAAGAAGTTTTTGGCATCATCCATTATTAATCTATGTTAATTGTTCATCTCATTGTTACATAAATTACTAAAATCAAAGTAAAATTGTGGTACACCTTTTTATAAAATACAATAATTTCGATGACTGTAAAGTCCAGCAATTAGATTTTACATCATGTTCTTAAAAAGCGAAACTCATGAGAACGCCTTGTATATAAACGTTAATTATAACCAGAAATTGAATGGTTTGTCCAGGCATTTTGTTTTTACGCCACTTTTAACCAGGAAACGAAATGTCACTTTACTATCTTCCGTACATCCGTCGACATCGTCGTCATTTTTCTTTCTTTAGCAGTGCGGTATTATTACAAGACTTTCTTCGAGCATATTTTACGTAGGTATATTAGTATATCATATGAAAGTTGGTTAGTGATATAATTGATAGCTAATGCCAAATGGCAATTGAAATGTAACGTTGAAAATAGGTGTGTTTTTAACCAGGAAAATAATTGTTTATATTCTCCGTACATATGTCGAAATCGTTTCCATTTCTTCAGCAGTGTGGTTATATTTTACATTTAAAAAGAATTAACTTCTATTATCTGAACATTTTGTTAATGCGATATAGGTCTCTAACTAAATACTACTTTTGTAACCATAATTTCCATGGTCTTAACATCTTCGGTCTTTAAACTAATTGAAACAAAATACAAAAATAAAAGACCGAAATTTATTGGGTACCGCAATAAGGTTGTCTTTAATTAGAGATTGTCTTTAAATGGAGGGTTTTTAACTTTAGGCAGACATGTATTTATAGTTAATAGTAACAGCTTATAAGAGCACATTTCAGGATAGATTGATGGTTGTATATTTTTGTTGACATTTTTTTAAAGTTTAAGGTCATTACTTCAGCACTATAATATAGTATAAATGCTCATTTCAAAATTATTTACATTCTTAACTTCCATGTTCTTAAAAAGCGAATCTCATGAGAACGCCTTGTACATAAACGTTGATTATAACCAGAAATCGAATGGTTTGTCCAGGCATTTGGTTTTACGCCACTTTTAACCAGGAAACGAAATGTCACTTTACTATCTTCCGTACATCCGTCGACATCGTCGTCATTTTTCTTTCTTTAGCAGTGCGGTATTATTACAAGACTTTCTTCGAGCATATTTTTCGTAGGTATATTAGTCTATCATATAAAAGTTGGTTAGTGATATAATTGATAGCTAATGCCAAATTGCAGTTGAAGTGTAACGTTGAAAATATGTGTGTTTTTAACCAGGAAAATAATTATATTCTCCGTACATCTGTCGAAATCGTTTCCATTTCTTCAGCAGTGTGGTTATATTTTACATTTACAAGAATTTACTTCTATTATCTGAACATTTTGTTAATGCGATATAGGTCTCTAACTAAATACTACTTTTGTAACCATAATTTCCATGGTCTTAACATCTTCGGTCTTTAAACTAATTGAAACAAAATACAAAAATAAAAGGTACCGCAATAAGGTTGTCTTTAATTAGAGATTGTCTTTAAATGGAGGGTTTTCAACTATAGGCAGACATGTATTTATAGTTAATAGTAACAGCTTATAAGAGCACATTTCAGTATAGATTGATGGTTGTATACTTTTTTGTTGACATTTTTTTAGTTTAAGGTCATTACTTCAGCACTATAATATAGTATAAAATGCTCATTTCAAAATTATTGTCCCATGATGAAAACAGCTGAACTCCAAATTGAGTTCACTGAGATCGAAATACATTTGACACCGACGCATGCAACATTGGAAGTTTGTAAATGAGATTCCGATGGCGAATCCTCCTGTGGGATTTATATCTTTTGTAACCTTAACATTTAGCCAAGCTTTTTATAATGCCTATGCAGGCATTTCGTAACTCGTAGCCAGGAACCTATTAGATATTATCATCCGAGCATGTCCCAAATAATGACAAAAAAGTTAAAAGAAAATCCAATGTAAAGTTGAAAAGGTGAGAGGGGGCTAAGTGCTAAAGTGACTTTTAACTACTTCGAGAATAGAGGGTGTAAATATTTTATTGGTAAGTGCTCCTCATGCCTCTATCTATTGTACTGTTTTATAACACATTTGGGACAAAATTTAGTATAATTAGAGCCTTGTTATAAGAATATATTTATTCAACTTAGGCCATTGATTAGAGTATGTGCCTAAAATATATTATACTTAGGAGATTTATATTTTAGACAAAAAAGTTGTTGCACATTTGACGTTGGGGGGGGGGGTAGCGGGGTGAGGTGCGAAAGGTATTAAATTAGGATTTTACTGTTAGGAACTTTTATTCACTTGCTTTGATTTCTACATTCTGACACATTGCAAAATAGTGATAGACAACTAAAAATACATCGTTACGAAAAGTACATTCCAGGTTACTGAATGGCCAACACACCCCTCCTTCTCTACCATAGCATGAAATCAATGAACATAGGCATTATAGTATTATTGATATTTTAGCTATTGTTCTTAGAGCACCACTGCACTGCAATGAAAATCATACTTGCTACAGTCATATGCATAGTATGTATCCTGGAGATGGCACATGTAGACGCTTGGAGGCGTCGTCGACGACGTCGCAGATCTTGCTATCCTGTGAATTGTGCGTGGGGTAACTGGCAAGGATGGGGTGCCTGCTCTATATCCTGTGGAAGTAATGGGACAGAAACAAGGATTCGAACCGTGGTTAGATCTGCGTCTTGTGGAGGTGCAGCGTGTACTGGTCCGTCGCAGGAACAGAGAGTCTGTTCGCCTGGATGTATTCGTGGAACTGCGATGGCAGGATATTGCGCAAATTGCCCTTTCCCATACACCGGTAACTGCTGCGAACAGTTCATTGAAGGTAATTTACTATATTTTAACATATATTAACGTAAGGTTAATTTAGTCAATTTACTCTGCTGATGAGCATCATTACCTTATGTAATATTAACAGTGTTAATAAAGTTAAAATTGTTAATGTAAATGTTGCTCTTCCTTCCTACAGGACGCTGAATATCATACAATGCAAGTGATAGCATTGGCGGCAAAAAACAAAAACAAAAACAAAAACAAAAACAAAACCATAAAGAGCATTTTTATCTCTCCATTGAAGCTAAATCTCCATGGCTAATCACTAAAATACGCCAGTTGTAGGACGAAGAGTTTTAAAAGGCATAGATGCGAAATTCATTTATATTGAAAACAATAAAAATAAAATAAAACGTCACTGCTTAATAATAGTAAAGTTGGTTACATCAAGGGAAAATGCAGAGCCCATAGCTATTAACAGGCATATTTTACTGCAGAATACTAGAACATTTTTGATACGTTGTACAACTGATTTTTCTAACTCAGAGACGGTTAATTAGATAGGATTTTTTTGCCCTAAGTTTTTCGTCAAACACCATTTTTGTGTCTTAGAAAAATCAGTTATACAACATACCAAAAATGTTTTAAACAAAACATTTCTTTTAGTTTTCAATCATTGTAGAGTTTTAAACAAAATAGGCAGTGGTTGGAATACGGTAGGGGCCTACACTATCTCGGTAATGGTGAATTTCTCAGCTGTTGCCAACACTATAATCATCTTTATCATAATACCGATATAGCGTTCGGTAACGTACATCATAAAAATAACTCTACTAAGCAGTATATACAGTAGTAGGAGAAATGCTATGGTATACACTTGCCTACTACACTGAACATTTTAGGATTACACAACGGTCAGCTTTCATTCAGTTGATTTCTTAAATGAGGTAAAGGTGATTAAACTTCCACAAAAGTACAGCTACAACAGAAGCAATTCAAAAGTTAGATTTGTTTTCCATGTTCTATAGCTTCTTTCTCAATTCAAAGTACATAGGTTCACTGTACAGTTTATTTTAGTTTTTTTATTTGAGTTTCTTGATAGATGAAATATCGGTCTTAATGGATTAGTAAGACGTCATTCCTTAAACAAAAACCTTTACAGTTTCCGGGTTTATGACCTAATTAATTGTAAAATATTTGCTGTTCAGGTGACCCTTGCACGACACATATAGAGCTGAGTCAACCCTGGCGAAGTATCAGTTATCCCCCAGAGCAAGACAATTCTTATCACTATACCAACCTGCTCAACTATTGGTACCGTTTCGTCGGTGGGGGCGGTGGAGACATGCCGACTATGTGCATAAAGGCCAAAAGTTGTGGCGTTTTGAAACCCATTTGGATGTCTGGTGAGTACCAGCATATTTATTACAGTAGCTTGATATGATATTTTTTACTAAACTAGAATAGGCCTATAAACTTGTTTAATATTTTATTATTATTATTATTATTATTATTATTATTATTATTATTATTATTATTATTATTATTATTATTATTGTGCTTATTCATATGTTGTTAGAGCAAGAGGGTGAAATCCATTGTTTACCTTACATCAATATGACAGAAATATTTTTTGAATTTGAAAGAATTTTTTTGTACTATTTAACATGTAATGATAATGATGATGACCATGGTGATAACGATAATTTGATGAGGATGATAGTTATCGACGACGATGAGGATGATAATGATAGTCATTTTAATACAAATTTGCATAATCGTATAAACAGGTGATCATCCAACTTCTGACGAGGGCGCTGTGAGCAGGACCGTATGTACTAGTGTAACTGACAACGGAGAAAACAACTGTTGCATCCGCATGAACACAATTGAGGTAAAGAACTGTACCAGGTTTTATGTCTACAAACTGTTTCAGCCACAGGATTGCGACGAAGGCTTCTGCGCAGGTAAAAATAAATATCAATTTTACGATTAATGAATTATAGATTTAACATACAAATACATAGTTCATAAATTAACATATTATAATGACAAGGAAAAGGTACATTATTCGTCATAGCACCGTCGGCCGATGAATTGCACTCTCTCATGAGCTGCTGAATATTTTCATTTAAAAACGACACCTCCTCGTCACGTTGCGTTCCGTGGAATCGCGGAAGCCAACAACTGTCGACACAGTTAAATTAAAAACAAATATAGGGCCTGTGAGATGGAGTTGACCAGGCAATTTACACACGGATTAATTAGGATAGTACCACAGACAAAATAGACCAGAATTAATTATGTTTATACAACGAAGTTTTGTTCCACAAACAAGTTAATATTATTTGTTTTATTATAATCCCAATTTGATTTACAACAAAATATTTGTGTGCCACAAACAAGTTGATTTTATTTGTTTTTTTAAAATCCACGTTTAGACCAGGCTATAACTGAGATAGGTGCCACTTGGAGAGGTAGAAATTCTCATATGGTTTTTCTAAACCAGTTTTTTACGGGGAATCAGAATATGTGAGGTAAAAGGGGTGTAACCTGAGAACTTTCGCATGAGGGCACTTTTTCAAAATGGCCGCCAAAATAAAATAAACAACATATATATGGGTAAAATAAGCACAGAAGAGGGTGGTTTGACCAACTTTTGAATATGTAATAATAGGAATAAAGTATAACTAGCTAAAGTTATTAATGTGAAGATTCCCGGAGGCAATTGAGGGCGCTTTTTAAAATGGCCGCCAAAATTAAATAACAACTTAACAGCAGCTTCATCTTGCACTAAATAATTCGGTTTATCACGCTCACATGAGATGCACTATCACTTGATTGGCACAATGTTTGCTTCTGGTAGGTCGTTTAATTATGTAATCAATTCTTAAGTTTATTTATGGCAGATAAACCATGTACAATCCCCATTGACGATCTACTAGGTGATAAAGAATCAGAGATGTGTGATGACACTGAGCCCAGTAGTGCGCAGGGAGCACGCCTCCCCCAGTCGTCCCCTATAAAATGTTAGAAGCAAAAAAAAATAAATAAAAAACTTAAGTAAATTAAAAATCCCCTATCATCTTTTTGTTCTAGCTAGCGCCCACTCATTTGATCACCAAGTCCCCCACTTGACCTTTGCGTTCTAATCAGTCTATATCTTTCTCCCCACACCCCCAAAGACTCCTGATACAACAACATATTCCTACTAGATCAGAGAAAGTTTTGCTTTAGAAAGAAATTGTGCTTAATCATTTTATTGAATTCCAGATAACCTGTTCTCTATCAGCACGGTATATTCACGTTGATGGTACTCCAATAAGTGAAGCTACGTCACCAAAAGAAAGCAATGCTCTTGACTTCGTGGTTACCTAGATGACTCGTTATCGAAGACCTCAAGGGTCTTTACGTACAACATACATTAAAAACTATATTTTTCAACTTTAATTTAGTATGATATACATAGGCCTATTGTTATGTCATTTACGTTTAAATACATACGTGCTTCAATCCTGCTTGTGTTTCATGCATGTAGCTCTGCTTAATCTTTTAAGTAGGATTTAGTCTCTTCAGTTATTGTCAAGTTTTACCGACCGAAGTGACGGTATTATGGAACACGGGGTACTCCACAATATTTTTTTCATGGTTCATATAGTACAGTATACATAATTATAAGTGATACTTACATTTTTTATGTTTGTGTTAGAATATATACAAAGCTAAGCCTGACCGACGATCCACGAGACTATCCACCACTGAACAAAATAAATCATAGTTTGGATGTGTGACTCTTAAAGACTCTGAAATTACCAGCATAATTTCAAATCATGAACAATTAAGACAATTATGTATTGCAAAGAATGAGAGGAAAAATAAATACTGTAGTTCAAAATTTTTCAATTTTGCCTTACTAAGGCACTTAGTTACATAAGTAGGATAATTACATAAATGAATTGAGATGTATCCTACATGAATAAACTGCAAGAGACACGAATAGGGGCCTACATAATAAATATGTATAAAAATGACTTTACTGTATATTGTTTACACGAGTTGCCGGGTACAGTATTGTGAAATATAAAGCAAAGATGCAATTAAATAAAATCGTGCTATGAATACACAGGGTACAATATGCTAGCTACGCATTATCCAATGAAATAGCCTAAAAATGAATACGGGAGGGTTTTGAATAACAGACTTCTGGTACGATTCTTAATTTCCGAATTCGGCATAAGGCGGCATAATATTAAGCCTACTGTCATATTATGAATTGTATCAAGTTTTTAAATTAAGTGAACATGTAAGCCTCTGATTGTTCTTATATCAAATAATTCGGCCTAATACATTAATTACTTTTTGATCACGCCCTGATGAGATGTAGGCCTACTATCATTTGAATTGTATCAAGTTTTTAATGTAAGTGTGTTTGCTTCTGGTCTTCTGGTAGACCTTGCACTAAATAATTCGGTTTATCACGCTCACATGAGATGCACTATCACTTGATTGGCACAATGTTTGCTTCTGGTAGGTCGTTTAATTATGTAATCAATTCTTAAGTTTATTTATGGCAGATAAACCATGTACAATCCCCATTGACGATCTACTAGGTGATAAAGAATCAGGGGACGATCCAGCTTTTTGTGAATGGGTGGTTTGGAAATGGGGTGCTTGCGCAATGTTAGAATAAGACTGTTTATACATGGGAGGGTCCAGAAAACCTTCCGCGGCAACATGTTTACTTAGATGCATAAAAAAAAATGAAATGGAAAGGATGATGATGATTCCTATATGAGAGGAAGTTGATGGCGATGACGGTAATGATGATTACAGGAATTATAGTGATGAAGGTGATGACAGGATTGATGAAGACTATAATGACGAGTACGAATACGACAATAATTATGATATTAGTTTGAATGGTTGAGACACTACTGTAATACAAACTAATGTAAAGTTGTATAAAAGGGGCTTCCGATCAGGGTGTAGAGGACCACCGAGGGCCCAACGGTCTAAGCTTACCGTTAATCTTGTTGAATTTTGTTAGTTATTTGATAAGTATCTGGCTACTGTATATAATGACTGCATTGTACAGTAGTAATGCCCAAATTCAAACAATCTGAAATTGTAGGTAGGTTTCCTAACAAAAAAACCCTCTGGATCTCCCCCTGGGCTCCCCGGTTCACTACTACATATTGTCCTGGGTTTAATACTTTTGATAGTGTTGTTAATGGTGTTTTGAATACTCGGCAGTGTTGCAGTCGTGTCGACTGTAGATGGTCATCGTGGCCAAGTTGGTCTTCTTGTTCAATTAAATGCGGTGTGGGGGGCTTAAACCCCCTATCTGTGTGGTCATGCCCCCTGCCGGCCAAAGCTCGTCAGGCAGTCGGACTAAAAAAAAAGAAAGAAAAAAAAGCCTAGTTATCCCATCCCAGCCATATCCGCCCATCTAGAAGTCCCAATTTTAAAAAAATCTCGTTTTGGGAGAGGGGACACCTCGTGCCTTCGGCCCTCAGAAAACGCTGCGCGCTATAGTTACATCCATAAATACTTAACACCCCCAGTCGACCATCATAGACCCCGCCGACCCATAAATTATATTCTAGAGCCGCCACTGGCGGTTTGCAGATACGAAATCGTTCAATAAGCCGTGAAGCCAGTTGCGGAGGTTCGGCATGTTCTGGATGTAAATTCCAAGGAAAAGACCATGCTCTCAACCAATGTCCACATGGTACACCGACTCCAGGCGGGTGCGATTGTCCAGAAACATGTACAATAAAAGGTAAAATAAACATATTGTATTCATTCTTTAAGTTAATTATCGAAACGATAACCGGTGTGGGCCCAGATTTCTTGCACCTAATGGTGAAGTTGCAATTTCGGAATGGTGTGGGTTCTAACTGATAAACAGTACTCCTGTAAGGCCTGCGTAGGTTCCAGGCAGCTATGTTCAACGACAAAAATATATCACCAGTTATAAAATCGATTAAATAAGCCTTTGAAGGCCTAGTTGTAAATGTTTGTGGGCTTCAAACCCTGGACCACTTTTGAAAGATATTGACATCCGACCCACTTTACCCTCGTCGGGGCCATCTTTCCCCTGATTGCGTACTATTGTACAAGAATATGGTAGCGTGTGCGAACAAATCAGCCCCATAGAGCTAAGGGGAAGACAATGCCTGCCGCCAACCACTCCCCCACCCCAACCTCTTCGTAAATATCAAAATAGCTAGTATGGGAAAAACAACAACAAATGAGCAACATATAATTATTTTTTTTAAATACATAATAGGTCATTATAGGCCTAAAGCATAGGTGGGAAAAGTGCGGTTCACGGGTTACATGCAGCCCGACGACAGTCATTTTCTATTTTGTGGTCCGCGAAAATTAATTAAAAACCTACGCAACCGCATTTGTGTTTACGGCCCCACACCGATCATCAGTGAAAAGTAATATTAAAATGTTAAATATAAACGTTTCTTTGTTAAAGTAATTATTCCTAAGTTTGTTTAAAAAAAAAACCATATGAATTATGTGATTGTTATTTTGTATGTGGAAAATACTAATAAAGAAAGAAAAC